CCTACACCCTACACCCTAAACCCTGAACCCCAAACCCTCAAACCCTAACCCCCAAAACCCTAAACCCCAAACCCTAAACCCTAAACCCCAAACCCTAAACCCCTAAACCCCAAAGAAAAAGCAAATCCAAGTCTCTGGTGAACCGCCGGCACTCTGGTCTTCAAGGGCCAGGGAGCCCTGCGAATGAGAGCTGGCCTGCCACAGAGTTACCCTTTCAGGGTTTCGGGTTTAGGGTTTAGGGTTTAGGGTTTAGGGTTGAGGGCAGCTTAGGGCCTGCCACACACTTTCAGAATCGACACAAACCCCTCATCTTACTGGTGTTTTTAAGGGGGAGTGGGAGGCTGATCCCTATGATAGTCCCTATGTTGGCCCTATATAGTCCCTTATGGTAGTCCTTACATTCCTTCCTCCACTCTTTCTTAAGCACCAGTAAGTCATAAGAACCTCTGCTGTGCGGGTCAAGGAACTGGGGTTTGAGGCCCTAAGCCCTAAACCCTAAACCCTAAACCCTAACACAGGACCCTGGAGCACTCTTGGAACCTGGGCCTAAACCGTAGATGCCCCAAAACTACCACCCCCGCTCCCAAAAAAACTTTTGAAATAAAGATCGATATGTAAAAAACCGTGAAGCCCTAGAACGAATCCCCTGCAAAACCGTGCCTATAACCGCCCAGTAAAAACTCATGCAGCCCTATTACCCTCAACCCTAACCCTAAACCCTAAACCCTAAACCCTAAATCAGTAACTAAACCCTAAACCCTAGATGATTAATCCTACACCCTAAACCCTAGATCATTAACCCTAAATCATGAACCCTCTTCCCTAAACCCTAAACCCTAGATCATTACTTAAAGGAGAAAAGCCCCCCGAGCCTGGTGCTTCATCTCCAGAACCGCGCTTTCCGCCACGGCCGGGCGCTCCGCCCACTGCTTCGCCCAGTCCATAAACCGGGGATCCACGGGGTTCTCCTGATGTGTAGGGCCTACTTAGGGTTTAGGGGTTTAGGGTTTAGGGTTTACGGGTTACGGGTTTAGGGTTTAGGGTTTAGGGTTTGTAGGGCCTACCTAGGGTTTTGCCTTGGATTTCATAGGTGTCCGCAGGGATTTGCAGGGGTTCTTGTCTCTGATGATCAGGGTTCCAAGATGACGGATTTCCTAAGCCAGGGCTCCTTTGGCATTGGTTGGAAGGCTCAGGGCACCCTAAACCCTAAACCCTGAACCCTAAACCGTCGGGATGGCTTCAGAGCTTGGAGTTTAGGATGTGGGGTTGAGGGCTTAGACTGTTCAGTTGCTGATAGGGTTTAGGGTTTAGGGTTTAGGGTTTGCTGATAAGGTTGAAGAAACATAGGCTTCCCTGAAGGCGCTGAAGGTTTGCGATTCAAGCTTTTGTGCAGGGGTCCACTTTCAGCTTCTCTAATGTAGAGGCCGTTAACAGTTATAATAGGGTTTGGGTACCTTTATCGTGTATTTATACTAGAGAACCCTAACAATAGTATTGGTAATTATTTAGGCCCCTACATTACCCAGGGTGCGATTGTAAACTAAACGCCAAATCCCGAACCGCGAGCTCCAACTTGAGACTAGGAAGAACTAGGTGCATTTTGCCCTTCTCTTGAGTGTTGGGCTTAGTACGGCATGTAGGGTTTAGGTTTAGTTGTATGTTTCACCGGAGACGTCGTAGCCCCAGGCCCCACGCACTCTGCCGAACTCCCACTGTAGACCTGTATCTTGAGAGCTGGGCGACCAACTACTGAAGCTCTCACCGGAAATCTCCCTCCCTGGCCCCTCCCTCAGCCCCAGAAGACCCTAAACCCCATCATAAACCCTAA